TTTTGGACTGCAACTCCCAGAAGCCTTCACCACCAGCTGTCCTGACTGGGGTTTCTGGGAGTTGCAGTTCAAAAGCATCCATGCAACAAAGGTTAAGAATCACTGATATAAAGGATGAGCTGCATTTCGTGCTACAGTACCTTACTTCTTACATTATTTGCTGTTACCTCCAGTCATACTTCATCTGGAGCAATACTTGACAGATAGTATACGTTATCTATGGCAGTGGTTCTTAACCTTTGTTACTCGGATGCTTTTGAACTGCAACTCCCAGAAACCCCAGTCAGGACAGCTGGTGGTGAAGGCTTCTGGGAGTTGCAGTCCAAAATGCCTGAGTAACCCAAGGTTAAGAACCAGTGATCTATGGGAGTTGGCTTCATACTCCAGTAATAAGTCTGCAAGTCACTTTTGCTGCTATATCTACATCTTGAGTACCCCTGAAAAAGGCCTTTCCTCCATGGGTGGATAATGCACCTCTCTCTCACAGATGGGACTTTCAGAAGAGCTTCATCTGATGAGCTCAATCCAATGTACGCTAGGTAACAAAAAGATCCCGACAAAGTAGCAAATAGGAACAGATGATTCTTGGGTCTGAGAATTTCATGTGCAATTTGTACTTGGTGAGGCTGAACTCTACCTGAAGTGTTCTCTCTCCTCAGTTTCCTCTATCTGTCCCTTCCCCATCATTGCCTCTCTTCTCCACTTATGACTGCTTGATAAACCTGTTAGGGTTTGATACTTCCTCTATTTAAGTGTGTAAAAGAGTGTTAAAACAATGATAGGGGTATAGAAATCACCATAAAATTGCCCTAAATATAAAGTACATTTAAACATACGGCATTGAGATATTGTTTACTGCAAGTGTTCTCAAAACAATAAATTGGCTGCAGTGCCAGTATATTCATTGAAATAAAACCATTGTTGGCAGTCTCCTATTCCATTTTGCTTCCTAATACATACATGAGAGTTATGAGAATAGTAAATACAGACAACTAATGAACAATTGGTACAAACTCGCAAACATATTACTTGCTTATTAGCAGATGTGTGTGATGTCAGCATTGTTTTCTCTCTGCTTATAGAAGCAATAGCAAGCAGATAAACAACCCCACTTACCCATGAGGGGTGCCTGCTGCTAGTAGGCAGAATTAAGTAAACAAGGTCACTGAAACAATAGATAGCTGCTTCCTAGCATTGAGGTAAACAAAATTTGGAATATAAATAAACAGTTGTAGTTTTAGAAGAGCTAGCTGTGTTAGTCTGCGCAGGCATATCAGGCAAAATCCAAAGAAACTAAACTAAACTAAACCAAACAGACAAAAACATTGGAACCTTAAATCAAAGCTAATCAAAGCTGCCAGGCCAGTGATAACTGAATGGGGCACTGAAATAATAAATGGATCTCTTCTTGAGGGCAAGGTTCCTCTTGCCCTTAAGGAAATGCTCATTAGACCCATTAGAAAGAAACTGAGCTTGGCGGCGCACAACACTGGCAATTATAGGCCCATCGCCAATGTTTCTTTTCTCAGCTATGTAATTGAGAGGGTGGTGGCCGATCAGCTTCAGGCTCTCTTGGATGAAATTGATGCTCTGGATCCGTTTTAGTTGGGCTTCGGCCCGCGCAACGGGATGGAAACGGCATTGGTCGCCCTGCTGGATGACCTACTTAGGGAGGCCGATGGGGCAAAATGTCCTTGCTGTCCTCCTTGGTATTTCAGCCGCCTTTGATATCGTCAACCATGGTATCCTCCTGGAGAGGCTCTCCAAGTTGGGGATTGGTGGCCTTGCTCTCGCTTGGCTCTGGTCCTTCTTGGAGGGCCATCCCCAAAGAGTTCAGCTCGGGGAGAATGTATCGGCCCCGTGGTCCCTCAGTTATGGGGTTCCTCAGGGTTCAATCATCTCGCCAATGCTGTTTAACATCTATATGAGGCCACGGGGGGGTCATCTGGGGATGTCACCTATATGCTGATGACACCCAGCTCTACATCTCCTTTTTTCCATCTGCAGTGGGTGCCGTTCTGTCCCTTGGGTGCTGCCTAGAGGCCGTTCTGCAATGGATGCAGTCAAATGGATTAGGGTTGAACCCAGACAAGACGGAGGTCCTGCAGGTGGGCCCCCCAATGTCAGTGGTTTGGGGAACCCCCTCTTTTGGGGGGGTGACTCAAAGAGTTTGGTTTGCAGTCTGGGGGTCCATCTTGACCCGATGCTTACCATGGAGACCCAGGTAGCGTCCATGGTTCAGTCTGCCCACTTACATCTTCGGCAGATTGCTCAGCTGTGTCCGTATCTAGACACAGGGGTGCTCACCACACTGGCCCATGCACTCATAGTCTCAAGAATAGACTACTGTAATGCTCTCTACGTGGGGCTTCCTTTGAGACTGATGTGCAAGATTCAGATGGTCCAGAACACGGTGGCCAAGCTATTAACAGGGGTGAAAAGATTTCACCATATTTCCCCCACTCTGGCCACCTTACACTGGCTACCTATTTGCTTCCGCACTGATTTCAAGGTGTTAACCATTACATATACAATCCTTAATTTAAGACCTCGATACCTGGCAGAGTGCCTTCTTCCGCCCAGTTCTACAAGATTCAGATGGTCCAGAACACGGTGGCCAAGCTATTAACAGGGGTGAAAAGATTTCACCATATTTCCCCCACTCTGGCCACCTTACACTGGCTACCTATTTGCTTCCGCACTGATTTCAAGGTGTTAACCATTACATATACAATCCTTAATTTAAGACCTCGATACCTGGCAGAGTGCCTTCTTCCGCCCAGTTCTACCCATATCACCCATTCCAGTCAGGCTGGGCGGCCTAACACCAAGAGAGGCCCGGTGGGAAAAAAACAGAAATCGGGCCTTCTCGGCAGTGGCCCCTCGGCTTTGGAACAACTTACCTGCTGAGATCTGTCTGGCTCTCTCACTGACAGCCTTCAAGGCTAACTTGAAGACATGGCTATACAGGCAGGCATTCCCTACAGCCATTACCTAGCCTATCTTCCTTTTCTTCTTTTTCTTTTCTCTCCTTCTTCTTCCTCTTCTTTTCCCCCCTTTTTCTTTTTCCTTTCCCATCTTGGATTAATCTGGATTTTATCTTAGTTTTTCTTTATATTACATGTAAACCGCCCAGAGTAGACCCATTCTAGATGAGTGGTATATAAATCTAATAAATATTGAAGACTAACTATTATATTTTAATTTAAGTTTTGGACATGTTTTTTTCTTTGTTCTGTTTTGTTTTCTTTCTTTAAATAAATGGTGGTTTCTCATACTCCCATCTCAAGATGAGAAGAATCAGAAAAGAAGAAGAAACAGCTGCAAGAGACACCTTATCCAAGAGATAAGAGGAAGCGGCTCCTGAGAACAAAAAAATAGATTTCACTTAGAGTTTTATCTATAACCTGGCAAAATGGGTGAGCTCGCTTAGAAATGATTTTCTGTGTGTCCCTATATGCTTAGAGCTAAATAATGCTTAGTTTTTTTATTCTTGATGACTGTAACATTTTAAAAGATATAGCCCTTGCCTCAGACTGCATTTGAAATATTCACCTTGTGTTTTTTAAGAGTCTTTACTCTTAAAAAAAGATGCTCTTGTAATTTTAAGTAATGTATCTTCTCAGAAGTTACAAGTTTTCATTATTACTGGATTTCATGTTATGCTGATGAAACATAGAGGCAATATAGATAAATAAAATGACTGATTTCATTCTGGTATTAACCAGAATGGTGGATGGAGTACTTGACTGCTGTCGTGCCACCTTCTCATCCCTTGACCCTTGCCCGGCCAGCATAATCAAAGCAGCCAGGCCTGTAACATCTGAATGGGCCACTACGGCAATAATTAATGTGTCTCTCCAGGAGTCAGTCATTAGGCCCATTAGGAACAAACCGAGCTTGGCGACGGACGATATTGGTAATTATAGGCCTGTCGCCAATGTTTCTTTCCTCAGCAAGGAAATAAATAAATAAATAAAACCTTTACTGGGATAATGTCAGTTATGACCAACCAAGAAAACTTTTGTCAGCTATAAATAAAGTACAGGCTTCTGTGATTTGCCCATAAGTCTGCCTTTAGATTGGCTTCTAAGGGATATAATATAGGGTGCCCCCAAGTAAGGTTTGACATATTCTCCTTTCCCCAATGCTTCTCTCTCTTCCATTTTGAATTTCTACAAATGGTCATGGTATCTGTGACACTGTCCATCAAGCTGTCAGGGCTGCACATGTTGTTATAATTGCTTCACCATGCCATTGCAGAGAGGAGCCCAATGCCTGGCTTGATCACACTATGTAGGTTGGGAGCCATGCCAGCAGACTTTGCACGTCAACTCTGAGTAACAGTGCATGTGGTCCCACCACCATACAACCTGCCCTGACCTTGTATTGGAGGCAAAGACATATCATCAACATAATCTTAACACCTGCTGAAGTTCTACCAGAGTATCACTGGTGACCATTTGCATTAACATATCCTTTTATATTTAACATGAAAACTTACCTTCTGCCATTCCAGAGGTATTGGTTATGCTGAGTTTATTTGTCCGAATTAGATTCCTGATTGTTCTTGGTAGAACAGTTTTCAGTCTTCCTGTAAAAATTATCTCTTCATCCTAACAAAAGAGGAAAATGCAGTTATAGAAATTCTGAAAAACATTAAATGATTTTATAACTTAGGAGTATCTACTTTTCTACTTCCTTTTCCTTCAAATGGTATGTTAACCCATCCCATCAAGTCTGCAATATTTTATGATTTATCAGGAAAGGAGATATGGTTTATCAACCCAAAACAATGCAATGTATGTTTATCTTTTGCAGTACAAAATATATAAAGTAGCATATAAACTTTAACTATTCAGTTCATACTTCTTTCATAACTTCACCAGAATTGTAAACATATTTCCTTAAATTACATTACTTTGCTAAACTACATTAATGTTTTCCTACTTTTGCTGTTTAATGGAAGAGCAATTCTAGTAGCTTTTCCAACACTTTATGAACAACAGCTCCAATCCCCAATTCTGGTAAGAAAATCAAATGATATCCAATTGCTTTACCGCCAAGTTGAATTTAGAGTCTTTTGAAGCCATTTCCATGAAAGAATTCAACTCCCAAAGAAGTAACAGCGGTTTTAAGCAATGAAAGATCCCCTGGCGGTGTTCTTTTAAATTTATTGAGTTAATATTCAACATGTAATTGTTATATATTTCTAGTAAATATTAATCCTTTCTTAACTATACATGGCATTTGCCAAATGAAGACTCCAACAGATGTACAGTATGTTCATCTCTTTATGATGTAGGACAGATATTATTGTGAATAACCACATTTTAGTAATCTTTTTGTGGCATATTTTAGAGAGCCAATGGTGTGAGTCTGTGTGACTGGACAATGCTGTAACTCTACATCATAAGAAGGAGGAGGGGGAAAAAACAAGATAATATTTATCCTTCATTTTTTGTCAGCCACAAAGCGAATGCTTTAATTTCCTGCCTCCTTCCAATATAACAATCAAAATTAACTTCTGTAACTTCACTGTGGAACCAGGTTAAGTCACTGTGGTTGGTGGGACAAGGCAGTAAGGCGCAAGGTAAAAAGCAAGGTATCAGACAAAAGTTAAATCAAGAATAACAAAAAAGATTTTACTAAACATTTGGAAAAGTAACAGTAGAAGATTTTTTCTGACGCTGTTATCCAACTCTGTTGTTTCTCCCCCTTCATTAGCCTTGCTCTGTCATGTTTCAATGTGTGTGGCATCAACAAATGTTGAGGGAAGTACACTAGCCTCGCCCCCTCAATCATCTCATTAACCAAATAAATGTGATTGTTTGAAGAGGCCACTGTACCCATGGTTCTGATCTATGGGAAGAGACTAACCAGGTACAAAATTCTAATCTTTTCCACAAAGATGCATTTCTGTGTTGAAAGTCATGAGGCAACTCAAGACTAGGCAGGTGCTTCTTCCAAATTCTGGGGTAAGGTATTCTGCAATCACTGTATGAACAGTCATGATGTTATTTGCTAATTAGCTTGCTATGCTACATGACCAGTGTTCAAGAAGCCAAAATCTCACAATAAAGATATTTTTCCAGCTCAGGTTGGACAAGACAGCTTCCAGCCTTCCCATTTTCAGTTTATCTTTTCCCCCCCTAAAATCAGGAGGCTGAGTCTAATTGCAGGTTGTCTCAAACAACCTGTAAACTACCTAACACCTTTACCTATATACAGCATTATAACTCCCCCTGGTAGTCAATTAAAATAACATAGCTTTTTAAATAAAAACCTTTTAAAGTTTCTTAATCCCATTGTAAATGGTGAAGCCTAGTCAGCATTTAATATGCCATTAAGACTCTCTTTTGTGTTGATCACATTATGGAAAAACAGATTGCTTCATATGACATTTGTTCTTTGAGTAGTCATGTATGTATTCAATCTAATGGATCTACATCTGTGCAGAGCTATCAGTATCAGAACCTTGTACTGTAGATCAAAAGCTTCCATTGTAGCCCTGCCCCCTCATTTACAGCACATACTCTAACATGATTTTCAATTATTTTACAAATTCAGACAACACAATGGCATAGATCAGTTAGGCAGAGGTGCTGAAGAGAGGAGGAGGCTGGATTGATGAATGCACAGATAACAATGCTACTAGAAGCAACTTCTTTTCTGATAACTACTTAAAAACAATGCTACTAGAAGCAACTTCTTTTCTTTGTAATCTCTATGCATTCATGCTAATTGGTCATCTGACCTTCAAAAAGGCATGCAGGTAGTGCAGTTATTGGTGCACTATGGAGATAACTGATCTGACCTTCAAAAAGGCATGCAGGTAGACACCTGCAGTTATTGGTGCACTATGGAGATAACTGTGGTGCACTATGGAGCTGGAGGTTTTTGCATGTATACATTACTGAAACAGAGACGTCTATGTTGGCTTGGGCATGTTGTGAGACTGGCTGATGGTCGTATTCCGAAAGATCTCCTGTATGGAGAATTAGTGCAGGGAAAGCGCCCAGAGGGAGGCTACAGCTGCGATACAAGGATATTTGCAAGTGGGATCTGAAGGCAGATGGGAAAACTTGACATCTGAGCGTTTAGCCTGGAGGCAGGCGGTGCAGCATGGCCTCTCCCAATTTGAAGAGGCACGTGTTCAGCAGGCCGAAGCAAAGAGGGAGTCCAGAAACCAGCAAAATCAGGGAGCTGGACAGGGGACAGATTGTATTTGTCTTCAGTGTGGAAGGGATTGTCAGCCACACTAGACACTGTTCCAAGACCTCTGTTCATACCATGTTACCATAGTCTCTCAAGACTGAAGGATGCCTACAGTGACAGTGATGGAGATAACTGCCTTTCCAAAGGAAGCATCCCTCTGTGACCTGGTATCCAAACACTAGTAACAAATTAAAGCAGATGGCAGAGATCAGGTTTCAAGTCTGCACAAATCAGGTACAGGACCCCTTCTTAAAATCCCCGTACAGGTGGTTACAAACTAGTGGAATAGCTTTTAGGAGTATTTGGTACAGGCTGTCCAACTGCTTTGTATGTACTGTTGGAGGCAATGACCCTCAGCTCCCCTCCCATGATGCAGATATCCACTGTCACCTTGATGCACAGCTGAAGTGGAATAAAAGTGATGTGCTGGAACAGGCTTTTTGACTTGATTCACTGTTGAAATTAAAGCAAAACTTTGGAAGGCGTCAAGAGCTGCCTTCATTTGGTACTGAAGGCATGACTGTAGGGAGCAGAAGCCAAGACCACAGAGTCTGGTGAAATAGAGAACAGAAACAGTAGGGACCAAAAACATCAAGCAACTTCAGAATCCACAGGATAGTGCCATAGGATGGTCAATAATTCCTTGAAACATTGCCTTGATGTAGTGGGTCCTGATTCCATGAACCAAAGCTACAGTTCCTGTGGAGAGCAATGTGACTTCAATGCCTTGTTGACTTTTGTTGGAGTCAAACAGAACTTGTCCAAATTCACAAACAATTCAAAGTTCCTTAGCAAGTGAAGATAACGCTGAGATTGTACAGAAGATGGGACTCAGTGTAAGCAAACTGGTACTTCCTGACGCAGCAAAAATGGCAATATCTTGTTTTCCCATGTAAACCTCCACTACTCACATAATGGTGAGTAGTGGAAAATCCTTTGTACTTTGGAAATATCAAAAGAAAACGCAGTACTGATAGACTGCGTCCCCTATTGCAAATCACAGGTATTTTTAATGGGAAGGGTTAACTGCAACAATGGAACAGAAGGTAAATGACACCATCAATGACAGTACAATGAATAGTACTGGGAGATGAGATACTGGGGGCTATCACGTGCATAGTATTCTCTTTTCACAGACTCTGCAGAAGAACAAAATTATGACAGTGTCACTGCTTGAGGAGAAATGTTTTTACCAGCATGTCTTGCAAAAAGTATTGCTGGGGACCAAGCTACCACCACATTTCTTGAAAAGTTTTAGAATGTCTCACCAGTCAGGCAAAAATTGCACCAGTCAGCATGACCGGACTATAGCCTTGCCATCTATGTTTAAGCTTAAATTTAAATTTAAACTAGGCACTTTCTACATAACAATGTGTAAAAACCCAAAATAAATTGAATTGGGTTGCTTTATTACCTGCGTGCCTGTGGGGTCATGAAGCTTGTGTTCTGAACGCCTTTCTCTTGAATGGCTCCAGCAAAAATAAAACTGAAAGCAAAAGCGCCCCGCCTCTTAAAGGTCGTTCGGTTGAAATTGGAAGCAGGGAATCTCCATGGAACTACTCTATTTTCTCCTGCAGAGCTATGCATCTATGTGCTGCTCAAACTCTCTTCTCGCGAGAAGAGGGCTGTTTTTCCTTTTGCAAGGACGGCAGGATCAGAGAGAGAGAGAGAGAGAGAGGGCTTTGAGTTGGCACACTGTGTGAGGGATGTTGGTGGCACCTGTAGGAGGTTGGGCTGTGCACGCCTGCAGAATTTATTTGAGTGACAGGGAGAAGATTTCTTCCACTCCTGAATGTCTAGTCCTGTTGAAGTGGCACGTTCAACCTTTTCCTTCTTTCTAGTTGTCTCAGTGACTTTGCCTATGCTGGTGCTGGTACTGTTGATGCTGAGACCTACTTAGATGGCCTGCCCAACTATAACATTAAGCTGGCAGTTATGACTGACAGCACCGGGATCACCAGGAGCCTCAGGACCCTAGGTGATTTGTGGATCAGCTCTGGCTGAACTGAAGTGCTCATAGTAATTACCAATAATGGCTTCTCAATCCAAAATGTTTTCAAGTTGATACTCCCAAATTTTCCCTTTTAGGTTAAAAATCCTAAACAAATCTACAATGGATGGCTTTATGTTGCTCCTCTAAACAAATGAAAACTGATTATGGAGATCACTGAACCAGATTTTCCCCCTATATTCTATGCAATATATAGTGTTCAATATGTCCATGTTTTTCGGCATCCATGGGGGTGGGATTGGAATTGATCCCCCTTGGTCCTACTCTATTTCAGTATTTTTCCCTAGCTGCACTATTACGGCTGAACAGTACTGATTTCCCCCCCTTCCCACTATACAGTATAACCAAGATGTGTCACAACTGCTATTCTGCTCTATTAAAAAGTGTCACATAAAATATTCAGGTTTTATTATGCACAAAGAATTCATAGTCTTGTAATCTATGCATGTTTATACAGGAAACTGCATTAATCCCCAATGGAACTATTAAACCTTAAACATATCACACTCATATCAGAAGGTAAATGTATAATTTGTCTAACATATGAAAGAACAGGTTATTTAATAAAGTTATATACACATAATAAAAATCATGGGATTATTTCCTTTATACACATAGGTAACATAATAAGAATTTTGAGTTATAATCCACAAGCCTAATTATTTAATTCTAGTGACATCAGACACAAAGGTAAGAATCCCATTCATTTATGTGATCACATAAGGGCAATTGTATACGTGAACTCCCTTGGCAAGCTCCCTTTCAAGCATTTGTTCTTGCACTGGAGGGATTCAGTGTGGCTCACTATCAGGCGAGTGAGTATACTGTTATATTTTTAGATAAGTGGTTTTCCTCGAGGGCCCTCAACACATCAGTTCCAATATACAACTGCATAGCATCA